GAATGGTGATGACATGATGTTACTTATTTTCAAGCAACCATTGATTAACTCGTAATTTAAAGGAATCCTGCGCGGAAAATTCTTGCACTCTTTCCTAACATGAATATGTCAGTTGTGATCACTGGAAATAGCACACAAAGTTTCACGCATGAAGATTCGGTTTCTGAAGAGAAACAAACGTACAAAAACTACACGTTATGGACCATCGAAGGACCAGGAGGCAGAGCCAGGCGAGGCGATGGAAAGAAGACGGCGTTTGGCCGGCTACGTACCAGGCGACGCAATGAGAGAATCGGGTTAATGCGCGCGATTTCGGAGAGTGGAGACAAATCGATCGATGGAATAGGATGGAGTAGAAGTGTAAGATGTGAATGCAACGAAGCAGAAGCCAGAAAGAGCTTCTAGTGAATGCACTCCAAGAACCAAGTTTGAGCATCCCCGTCGCCAGCATTCGTGAAAGACGTCCGTGGGCAATTCGAACGCGTAGCAGCCTTTTCGAGTTTTCGAATTTCTAATCAAAACGAAAGCAGTACTTCAATCCTTTTTACTATTATTGTGGATAATGAGTCTCAAGCCAGTGATTTATGGCTGAAATAGAATCATGATTTTTCCGTGCAAGATTCCTTTAACGGGTACATTCAAAGCAGGGCATTCAAAAACTGCTGGCAGATGACACTGGAATAAGCTGAAGAGAGGGGAAAAACGCCAATGAGAACAAATTTTGCTCTCAAGATTCTGAGACCATTTCGACACAGCCCAACTCCATCCACTTTCCTTCCGAAACGGCCGTGGGGGATTACTTTATTCAATGAGACGACAAATCTTCCTATTTTAACCAATTCCTGCTTACTTCTTCGGATCTCCACGAGAATTAAAAGAAAACCGTCGAACACATTCCCTCGCTGAGAACTGCGCAACGCACGGTTGACCATGTGTGAGTCACATGCTGCCAGTCTTCTATGAGGAGATAGTAATAGTGACTCGAACATCCTTTTACAATTCCTCTACCCGTCTGCGAGGGATCTGCGCAAGCTGAGTCACGTATTGTACTTTATCTCAACGATTTTGGATTGGAGACGCATGCGTGGCTCATACTGAAGGGGTTTACAGTAACATGGTACCACCTTTATTGGTCATGCTTTTCAGACTTTCGCCGCTGGTGCAATGTTAATGGCTATCTGTGCAAGTGTGCCACCGTATACGGTAGCTCTGGCTCTAGTCACCACCGCTGTCACTTGTTTCGCGGTCGTCGTTTTCGCTACACAAACCCTTTACGATATTACCAGGTTCCGATTATTTGCTTCAGAGAGTCCAAACAAGTTTTATTACTAAAGGTTTTCTTGAATTTCAGTTACTCATTTTTTATCTTTGCAATGACCGTTGCAATTTTTACTTTTGGTGTAGCCCTCGCAATTACCGGCATGTTTTTTCACATTAAAGTTAGTTTTAAACGAGAAATCTCATTTTATTTGGGTGCACTTCAATTTAAAATCTCAACTACTCTTGTTGTAATGAAGCTTTGGTACTCTTCCACCAATACAGCTCATCACTCCCAAAACTTTAAAAATGAAGTGGAGCTAGCCTCTTTCAGGGTCCTTCTTCTGCTCGTCTGCCACCCCCCCCCCCACGCTCCCTCTCACTGTCAAGATTGCGTTCGGGCCTGAGCCTGCGGTGGTTTTTGGCTGGGTCGGCCGCACTGTAGGGTAAAGATGTGTAAGATCACCGGATCAGTAACTTAGTTCTGTAGCTCCTCTTCCAGACTCAAATGATGATTCCATGATAAGGTCGGAACTTGAAGAAGGGGAAATGCCCCCACATAGTGGAAGACCCCCCAAAGGTGCGGGACGTGCACGTTCTTCGTCTGAAGAGAGTGCTTCCAGTGGTCCAGGATCCGCGCCTTTGCGTTCAATGGGTAACCCCCTGCTGTCTGACTACCTGTTTAGCAGAGAGCTTTAGCCTTGAAGATGAAGACACCGAAAAGAGTTTCGTCAATGCGCAAGTCAACGGGCAAAGAAGTGGTCTCACTTTTCGGATTCTAGGCCCTTTTCTCGGTTATTTCTTCATTTATGCATCACAGACCGTTTCGGGTATGGGTTGCAAGGACAGAAAGCGACTTTGTCGCTTTTTGCAGCGCTCAGCCTTTCGCCTGCGGAATTCCCAGATCCACTAATGATCGGGTTGGAACTGGGGTTCCCTGCAGCGAAAATGTTTTGCTCTGCGAAAAGCGAAAAAGTCGCTCTCCGTCTTATCGGCTCACATCAGATCACCTCTACATTATCTCTAATGAACTATCTTTTCATCGTCAATTCCGCCTCATAAGTGAGTGGGGAGAGACGAGCGGAAAATGGGCGCTAAATGGCGCTATTGCCAGAGACATACGATATTATGGTCTCATCCAGTAAGAGGTTAGGCATGTGATGCCACCCAGGCCCAGAAAATCCTCGACCATGCCCCTATATTGTGCTAGAGTAGCGCTGAGTGTGAACGCAGGCGCGGAGAGCACAGGCGGCTCGCGTAAGACGAGTGTGAATGTCCGCGCGGGAGAACGTAACTGGTCAGGCGAGAATTCTCGACGTGCCTTTGATGGATACTCGACCGGTATTTTTCCTGCTGCCGCACACGGTGATTCAATTTTTTGAGGAAGTAAATTACTGCAGTGCGTTACCCATGTCGTTTCGCTTTGCACCTACCGCGGAGTTTCCTTCTGCTGCAAGAAATTGTATTGCGTTGACGATGTGAACACTTGCACCACATGCCATCTCGGCGAGTGAGACCCTCACGTCGTTATCAGGGCGTCGAAGAACTTCTTTAGGCGGATTTTCATCGAAATTTCTCGAGAATTCAGGGTTTAGTTGAGAAAATGAGCTGAATTCTTTTTGAACAAGGTTCTCTTTGAGCAGCCAACAAATTTAGGCGCTTCATGTTGTATTCTCAGCTATGGTCTGCATAATTTTCATTATTCATTTAGCTCTTGACGTTCAGGTATGGCAATACGTAAAGGATGGTTTTCTTTTGAGCTCTCCTTCAGACTCACATTGTGAGTTTCAGATGATTATAGGGGTGGACGTCCAGTTTTATGAATACTCTGCACCTGGAGGATATATCTTTTGCTGCTTTGCTGTTCGTAGAAATTATGATTATTCGTAAATTATTGAACTTTCTTAAGTGATGTGATTAAAACATGATACTGTAGGGTCAAAAAGAACTGAACACACTTATTGATATTTGGATAGCACAAAAATTCCGAAGAAGGGTGGATTTGTTTTCTGTGGCATTTGAGATCTCTTTTTTCGTTAAAGGTTCCTTATTAAAGCGCACCAAAGGAACACTAGGCAAAAGTCGGCGGTGAAGATTCCTTCTCAACTGTAAGGACCATCCACGGACGAAGCCAAGATGTGACATTCAATGCACGGGCAAACAACGACAAAAGGGCGCCAGTGTGATAGATTGCAAGGATGCTAAGCTGCAGTGCCAGTCCGGCTGGTTTGCTTCTCTCTCGTTTACTTCGCTGCTCACGGCGTGTTCTTCATTGCTTTAGAGAGCCTATTTTATAAAAGAATAAAGAGCCCCCATAACTAGCGTGGATCTTGGACAGCTTCTTTTTTATTTTATTTTGCGACGGGCATTTCGCACCTATAGGATATAGATGGAATGCCAAAGTACCAGCGCGTTTGGACATGGACACGCTTAATTCACTTGTAGTGTTCACTGTAGTTCATTGTTTGAAAAAGGCACAGAGAGATAAAAAAAAAAGTTTTCACTCGAAGATCTTAATTACCCTTAGGCTATTAAACTTCGGTACTATTCTACTATTCCAGCCCACAACCCACACAAGGTGATAGAAGGGTGAATGCATGTAACCGTCCGAGCGTTTCCTTCTTCAAGAACGGAGAAGATCTCCGAGGAGACTCCTCCCACAGGGTTTGAAACTTCTCCCTCCCGTAGTGGGATGTGTTTTCTACTTGAATCCCCACAAGGAAATCTCTTGTAATTGCGGCGAGTTCCTTTACACTCATAGTGGACCTAGTCGATAAGTTTCGAGCAAATTAAGAACAGACGAAAGCTACTTTTCAGCCTTACAAAAATACCTAGATGGAAAAGGCTTCCAAAGCTTTCCTAAATAGTTCACAAGCTCTCGTCTTCTATGGATGAAATATCGCTAGAATTCCCGGCACTCGAAAATGCTCCACAACATCTAAAGGAAGGCGATGTGAACAGTGGTGAGCCGTACGGCGCTCACAGCAGCAAATGGCGGCCGCAGTAGGTGAGGAGCGTGAGACGCTTCACTCCGCCGAGAGGGCGTCAGCCGTCGGCCATGCAGACTGCCTTTTCCCAACTGAAGCGGAGTTTCATATGGTATAAACACGTGCTAAAGAGATCGCATACCACCCAAAGAGTAGCAACGAATTCCAGTTTGCAAGGCAAGAGACCTCGAAGAGCCTCAAGGAAGAGGTGGAAAGGCCATCAAGACGTATCTCAATGATGTTGGGGCTATGGCAGACGACGGCCTGGACAACTGACAATGAGGCAGGACCACTCTTCATTAATCTCGTTGATCGACATGATCATGATTAGTTGCTTCTGTATTACCCTCCGAGATTGGTATCAACTTTATTAGGCTAACCTTTCGGCGCAATCGCTTTCTTCGGAGTCCGTAAATCAAAGCATATTTTGGGAGCGAATTCATCCAAGCATTTTTGGATAACACAAAGGAAAACTAAGAAGAAATGAGTCAGGTTCAAATTCGTAACCAGCTGATCTTGGTAGAAGAATGGCAATTTCCTTTTAACAAGGTTTGCTGGTTATACTTGACATTTTTCCCCTCTTTTTTTTCTTCAAAGGATCAAAATGGTGCTCGGATGAATTTGTTTCAAACTTAGAGCAGGCTCCGAAGAAGACGATTGCGCCTTAGATTTGCAGGCTCCGAAGAAGACGATTGCGCTGGAGCGTTCGATAAATAAAGTTGATATTCTCCCTTTCATAAAACGAGGAGAGCGTTGAGTGCAGACCATACACCACAAATGACGACGGCTTTTACAAAATGAAAATTTTTCTGCAAATGAAGACTGTTGCAGTTGTATTCTATAAGCTGTCACTTTTACAACTACCAGGTTTGCTCCGCCCGCTATCGCGCGCATCATAGGGTAGGGAGGGAACACGGAATAGCAGCATGACGTACTCCATCAACCACCTCACTACTGAATGTGTTATACCACCTTGTACCCCTCTCTCCGGCGCATGGCAGCGCCATGTTCTCTCTCTCCCTTTCTCCTCTCCACCTCCCTCCCTCTTTCTCTCTCCCCTCCCAGCCCCCCCCCCTTCCCTGCCCCCTTCCCTCTACCCCTCTCCACCCCCCTCACGCTCATCCGGCTGCGAGAGTGAGTGTACTCGATCGGTGTACATGTAGCCGCAGTGGGTGTTATCATGATCATGATATCAACATCTCGGAGTGTTGCCCTTCGTACTCCCTGGTTTTGTGAACAGTTGGTCCGGACGGACAGAACGACACACACACACACCGACAAACCGACACACCAAAGTTCTGGTTTATATAATGAAGTGATGATCATCTACCAAAAATCGGCTATCACTATGAACTACTACTAACCAGATTTTCTTGTAAGCCGTCATCACTTATGGCGTGCGGTCTGCACCCCACACTCTTCTCGTTTTTTGAGAGAGAGGACACCAATAGGGGAGGCTAAAGCAGCAACAACCAGACAATAAGACAGTGACTCCTGCAACTGTGGAAAATTAACGCTATGTGAAAAAATGAAGCGCAAGGGGCAGTAGGACAGCTTGTGATATTGCGTCACGTTTACGTCATCATCATTGTTAGGGGATGTGCGTTCCAGTGAGAGCTATGAGCGCAGGGCGGTTGAAGGGGGGGGGGGGAAGGAACAAACGAATCTATCAATTCTCATCAAAACAACTTTATTAGTGAATGGAGTCGACAAACTAGAGTAGAATCATGAGGCGAAATGAGCCGCTGGAAAGTCAGGGCGATTCCAGTGGGCGTAGGATATGTCGTGGACGGGCTGCGAGTTCCCAGGCGTCGGGATCGCACAGATTCTGGATCTCAGCCATACAGGCTGGTTTGAAACGCGGAGGCCCGCTTCAATGCCACTCAGGCGTACAAGTTAGGGAAGCTGGAAGGTTGAGCTTATAGATCAGGAGTCCGATGACTTCTGGTGGGCTTAGAAATCACTCTGTCCTTGAAAAGAGGAATTATCTGTGCCGTGGTCAGCTCTACTCTAATAAATATCGATGCTGCTTTACAAGCACTCCATAAATCAAGAAGCGTTTTCCGTACGCTTCAGGAAACTGTATGCCCTCGATATCTCCAAACGTGGTAGTCGAAAAGAAAATATCAACTGATACTGTAGATCTCCTTTATCCGCAGGACTTAATGACATCGCACCACTGAAAAAGTCAGTATTAATCTTGCATTCTTCGGCTATCGATTTTCTACCTCTGCACCTCCGACGTGCTCTGCATTCACGCGTTCTTTTGAGATTCCTTCAAGTAAAACGCTTAACATATCGCACTGGATCCTAAGTGGTTCGCTAACTTCTCCAAATCTGCCACTAGCGCTGAGTTTTCACTATCACACGTGAAGGTCTGCCCATTCGTTAATCAACTCGCGTAATTGGGTGCGTTTGAATTGTATGATCAAAGCTATGTAACGCAATGTTCATGAACAACATTTAGCTTACCTCAGCCTGTGGGACCGCACACACCCTTGCCCCCACTCCTCCTTCGGAAGGGCGACTCAACCTCCGATTAGTAGGAAGATGGCCAACGTGCTCGCCAGTAGGGGCAGTATTCAATCCCCCCCCCAGGGGTTCTGCGCAAAAATCCTTTCAAATTTCCTCTCCTGTCCTGTCCCAAATGGGATTGTCCCGAGAGCCTGCACTTAATCCGTATGTATGTCAACAAAAAACACAACGAGGAACCGGATCCATTGAGACCTGAAATGAACAGCGCAGAGATAGTGAGAAGAAGAAAAGATAGTAGATAGATAAAGGAGTTGAGAAAACGGTGAATGAAGGGTGTGCGAGAATTGAGATACGATCATGGCAGGGGCATGAGAGGGGGGAAGCAAGTGGGGTGAAGTGAAGTGAGCTGAGAGCACGGCCAGCTTTCAAGGGTCTATTCAGGGTATTTAGGATAACGGGGGCAGGGAGGGTAAGCCTCAACGTGTTTAAAACCACGAATGCTCCTAGGGTAAAGTTCAGTACTAAGACTCAGAACGGAGGGAAAACCCTGAGGTTCGTGAGCAATCTTAACTTTCTCCGGGGGCAGGGGATTTGTTCCCGGTCCTGGCTGCTCACCAGGTAAATATTACTTTTCATTTTTTGCTATAAAAGAACACGAACATTATACGAAAAAAAAAACAGGAAAAAACAACTGAGGAATATAGCTGATGGCAGGTTGAATCTTTAAAGGACTTCTTGAGCCAAACTGGCATCAGAGCAGTCTGTGCTCCACAATGCGCCTCCTGACTGGAATAGACCCGGTTGCTGCAATTGACTTTGGCGCGCCTTATGCTCGCGCCTTGTACGCTTTTGCACTACGCACGTACGCACTCGACCGCAGTCTCAACGGGTGCCGGTTTCGACGCGGAGGACAAAAAGCAGTGCGAACAGTTTTGCAGCACCGAAAAAATGTTTGGCGCCGAGAAAAGCGGCGGTATCCGTGTCGTGCGGCGAGTTGTGTGTCCGCGTCGCATAAACACCATACACCCATCGCGCGATGGATGCCATGTGTATGTGAAGGCGCAACGATCCAACAGAAATGCAGGATAACGTGAAAGGAAGGTAGAAAACCTCTTTAAGCAGATCCTGGACTCCCATATAGAGTTACGAGGCTTGTCTGTCAGGGCCGGTGGTGAGAGGGCATAACTGGAAAAGCCCACGTTTTGTGTATTGCTGGGACTAAGTCTTCTGAAGAGGAGATAAAGAAAGAAGAGCTGTGATAGTGTGCACTTGTCGACAGGTTCTACACACTACGCTACAAAAGCCGTACTGCCAAGCCCCACGGTTGACACAGACTGAGACCAGACTAGTTACAGTGAGCCAGGTGATCGCCGTGGTGCTGAGGTGCTTGCCGCATAACCCATATTTCAGCGATCGGCGGTTAGCATGTAGATCGTGATAAAAGTGCATGGTTATCGATTTTCAAGCCACAAAAACACGAAGTATGGGATATGGGAAACGTCTGATGGATAACCAAATAACACGAGTCGTAACAAAGGGAGTGATAATGACCAGGTCGGGTGTCGGATTCTGGCTCCGGCCCCAGCGGAGGGACAGAAAGCGACTTTTTCAAAGCGCGAAACATTGTTCGTTGTGGGAACCACTCAGCGACACTGATGATTTGCTGCCGGAGAACTTCGCGTCTCCTCGGATGATCAGCGGTTTCGCTCAGTGATTCCCGCAACGAAAAACGTTTCGCGCTGCGAAACGCGGAAAATCGCTTTCTGTCCGGCTGGGTGAACCCAGCGCAGTAACCATTCCACCACCAAGTTGGACCTCTGCTGTATATTTGTTCAGGAACTTATAGAAGAACGAAACAAAATCAAAATCGAAACAAACAAAAAAATCGAAACACTTACGTACAACCCATGAAATCGATAGCACTTTTGAAGGCGATGGACTGTTTATTTGCAATGACCGCAAGGGTTTGCCGCCAAGAAAGATGGGTCCCTAATCCCATTGAGATAATTGTGCTGCGATTGGGTCATAGTTACTGCTAGGGATAGCTGTTCAGATTAAGGTAATTTTTTAGAGTGACACTTCCCGATCCGCTGAGCAGTAGGAAGCACACAGTGCATACCACCTCTTAACTCATAATTTGAGCGATTTTGCAATTCGCTGAGGGGAGTGCACATACGCGTTGCCCCGACGGGGAATCAATGGTATTCTCAATTGATACATATGCACTCCTTCCAGCACCATCGCCAAATCTAGGTTTAGGCTGATCCGCTTGGAGTCCTCCCCGTCCGTGGCGCGAATCGCGCGAATCGTAAGTGCCCCATAAAAAGATTTGAAACGCCGGCGGATGTGAAACAAGTAAAATTGGAATTTGCGCAACGCAGGGTTGACCCTGGCTGTAACGAAGAAGCGCTAACAATCTGCACAGCGAAAGGCGTGAGGCGTGGGCAGGGAGGAACGTCTCGGCGCTATCTGGGACAAAACCGATTGCATTATAGTTTGGATGCGACTGCGCTACAGATTCTTGCGTATTCTCATGCAGGATCTATTCCCAGTAAAACCCTCGTTGACGTTTATTCACCAACTAAACATGTTCCTACTTGTTAAAGCAAGCAACGTTCATGATACAACATATATTGATAAGCAGTGTGATAAGGAGCACTATATAAGTTCCGTAATTAGGGTATTATGCACTTTTGCTGAAACGTATATTGTTTATGGAGTTGGTCCGTGCTGTCCGTCTGCTCATCGTTCTCTGGAGTGTGGTCCCACCATGCAGTACTGCAATCGACGCCGCGACTGTTGAAAAAATTAAGAGAGGTGAATGGGTCCCGCTTCCTGGCGACCAAGAAGCAGTGGTCAAGGTGAGTCCTGCGACGAAACTGTACTGCCAGCTATGGTTCAAAGTCGAGCATATAAGTTCATTAGCGTCATTTCCAGTTTGTGCCACTAACCACCTTTGGTCCCGTCGGAGGCACATTCCTTTACAATCAGATGGAGAAGGTATGTGAAGCCGAGTATTCTCAGTTGGCATCGATCCAGTCCGAGGCCGAGATGAAATTTTTCGAAGGTTACTTATCCTCTACAAATAATGACATCAAACTTCATAGGGCCGAACTACATACCTCCATGAAGGCAAGGTTCGGACTCACCCTTACTGGAATAGTCACTTCCGTGGATAGAGTTATGTGGTCCGCCAATGCAGAGGTTACGCCACCTTTGTACATCGAAACTCGTGACTTTGACGCTTAGCGCCAAAGCAGCGTTCATCGTTTGCGGCTCGGGAGATTAGGATAGTAAGCGATGCGATATTAGGATAGCAGAGTAGGAAATTGCACTAACAGCATTGGACACGCATCGATTGAAATTGCTGGAGATAGTAGATCAGGCGCTTCAAACGGATGGATCATTATATATCTAATCTTGTGGGCGCACCATCCTAATCTACTACTATCCTGATTTCTTACTCTACTACTATCGTAATATCGTGATCTGGTACTCTCCTGCGATTTGAATCGGTACGTATCCAGTCTTGTTAGCGCAAACTCCTGCTCTACTACTATCCTCATGTACTACTACTGTCCGATCTCCCCGTCAATACATACCTTTCCCTTGTCGCGTACTATCCTAATCTCCGGAGTCGCGAAGTATGAACGCGGCCTGAGGACTGCGATCATTCCACCGAATAGACGAGGACCCGCCCTTTGTTTGAGATCACTATCTCTCATCTCCCTGCCTCTTACCAGTAAAGGTCTTTGGATGACTTTCTCAACTGAAATGGGATGAATGTGTCTATATGGGAATTAAAACACTGAGCTCGAATAAACTTTTCTTCTCCAGAAGTTATGAAGCTGGAAAGCGCAGCGGCAGTAGACTCACAACAAGATGTCGCAGAGTTGCCTCTTTGATGAGCTTACTTTTGCCGTTTTCAGCAACACAGCTAGAAAGATCTGACATCGCTGGTTCAACATGCTTGCGCATATCTACATGTACCAAGAACTTCAGGGCATGTAATGAAAGCAGAATTTGTGACTCCGTTAATGTTGAAGACGGCAAGAAGAGCGTAGGGTCAGCGAGCGCTCCTATTTTTATCTTTACCACTACAATGAGGCTGGGATGGCCGAGTGGTTAAGAGGTGTGACTCATGTCTGCGTCTCCGAAAAACCGCAAGTTCCAACTCTGCCGAAGCTCGAAACCATGACCTGCAGAAAAGGAATGGTTTTAGTACCAACGTCAGGCCAAAGTTGACAGGGTTGATGAATACTCCAGGAAGTCCCGAGAGGTTGCTGACCTGGTGATGCGCAGAAAAATTCAAGTACTTTGCCTTCAGGAGGCGCGATGGAAAGGGGCCAAGGTCAGGGGAATCGGAGAAGGTATCAAACTCTACTACAATGGGGAGGACACCAAGCGGATTGGTGTGGCCATAGCGGTAGCGGAGTCGGTCAAGGACTATGTCTCCGCTGTGAACAGGATTAGCGATAAGATAGTGGCTGTGAGGATAGACACGAAGGAGGGGTACTGGTAATACTAACAGTTTACGCTCCGCAGACCGGATGCCCCGAGAGTGAGGAGGAGGAGTTCTATGGAAGGCTTGACGATGCCATCAGATCGATCCCGGAAGGCGATTACTTCACCATAGCAGGTGATCTGAATGGGCACGTCGGCAGCGGCAGAAGAGGTCTTCAGGATGCTCGGAGGTAGAGGAATAGGAGTGAGAAACGCCGAAGGAGAGAGGATTCTGGGGCTGGCTACAGCCCACGATCTGGCAATCTGCAGCACGTTCTTCGCGAAAAGGTAGACTCAGAAAGTAACGTACAGCAGTGGAGGAAGGCAAACGGAAATCGACCATGTGTTGGTAAGAAGATCATACCTCAAAACTGTGAAGGATATCAAGGTAGTTCCTGGTAAAGAGCTGGCTCCTCAGTACAGGCCCCTCCTGGCAGACATAGCCATAGACCTTCCCAAGAAGACAAGGGTAAAAACCGGGAGAAGAATCCGGTGGTGGAAGTTGCACCGCAGAGAAGATCAAACGAAGGATAATGGGTTAAACGAGATCATCCTACGATGTGCCAAGGAGGTACAGTACTCGCCGTTTGAAATCGAAAATTCACGCGAATAACGCGAATCCTCGTTAATTTCGTGAATTCGTTATAAGTCGGGTCAGAGTGAGTATTCCAGAAACGGAAAAAAACCGTTGAACGCAGCTCTTCAAGCGCTACAAGATGGTGCTAAAATATTCTCAGAAAGCTTGATTTCGGAATGCGCCATGCACTCTATTTTCATCTCAAAAGTAGTTGCTCGCATGTGGTGTGTATATAATCCCGCTTATGCGGGCTAACCGCCACACACAAAGAAGGGCCTCAAAACTTACCCTAGAAGGCGCCACGTACTCAATCTCATCCACTACATTGTGAGATTACTTACTTAGACTTAGTTCCTCCCGTGCTGTTGAGCATCGGGCGACGAATTCTTTCCATTTGCTGACGAATTTTGCGCAAGTTTTTCACCCTCGTACCTAGCAACATCCATGGTCCTTTAGATCATTATCGAATGTTCGTCTCCACGTTTTCTGGGACGGCCTCTTGCTCTTCTGGCTCCTGGGGAATCCAGTACATGGCCCTTCGTGAATACGATGTTGAGGCATACGTAAAATATGTCCAGCCAGTCGGAGTCTGCGCCGTGCCAAATCAAACACGATGGAGGCTGCTCATACCTGTGCGCGGCTCAGGACTTCCTGATTAGTGATGTGGGCTGTATACCGTATTTTCGAATGATTCGGCGAAGGCAACGCTGATGAAAGCCATTATTTTCTTAACGAGTCCAGCATTTTCCATGTCTCACTGCATACAACGCGGTGGAAATCACGATTGATGGTTATAGGCGTATCTTGATGTTTGTGTGAATGGTAAGTTCATTGCCCATACTGGCTGAAGTCCGTTTAATACAGTTGCTGCTTTGCTATTCGTATCCGTGCATCTGTTTCTGCATCTCCATCACAAGCAAACTACACTTCCAAGATAATGAAATTTTCCCACAGTCTCCAATTGTTTTTGGCATCAACATTGATGACCGTTTTGCACATCATTGGGGCCAAGTTCATGACTTTCGATTTTTCGGCGCTGATGCGCAAGCCGATCATTGTTCTTCCACTGTTCAGGCTCGTAGTTGCTTCTTGAAGCTCACGTCTCTTGCGCACCAAGCGCAATGTCGTCCGCAATCGCAAGTCTGACAAGCGTCCCCGTTAGACCAGCTCAATCCTGTTTTCTGTTCGTCTCATCGCTTTTTCGCATGATAAGTCGCATATATATGAGGCAACAATGGAGACAGGAAAATCTCCTGTCGTACTGGCTGTGGTGATTTCAAGAAGTTTGTGTGGGCCATTATTTGTTCTTATACAACCCGAGAGTCTCAGGTATAAGTTCTTGAAGATGCTGAATGAGCGCGATGGTATCCCGTATATCTAAGAATTTTCCACAGTGAATCATGATGGAATGCTATCAATGTCCTTCTTGAAATCGAATGAAGTTGATAAGAAGGGATTATGGTATTCTATGCGCTGTTTCGACAATATTACGGAGAGTGAAGTTTGCTCACAACATGATCTTCCCCACTCCTAAATCTGCTTGTTCTTCTCTTAAACACGTGTCGATGGCGCTTTGAAGTCTTCGTAGAAGTATCAAAGCAACAACGTTTTCCCCGGTACTGAAAGCAACGTGATGCGTCTCAATTCCCGCATTCGGCACAAATCTCCTTTTTTAGGCAGTCTCACAATGACCTCCTTTCTCACAATCCTCTGGACTTCTTCTTGACTCCAGCACCGGTTGACACAGTTAGTTAATGCTTCGATCATTGTTTCAGCACCCGCTTTCAATAAGTCTGCTTGAATGCCATCCAATCCTGGAGCTTTCTTGTTACGAAGGGCATTTGAGTGCTTCATGCCGTTTCTTCAGTAGTTATGTCTCCAGTGTTCACATTCGAGCTCTCTGCTGAATCTATCTCATCGAAACATAGTCTTTTGTTGACTTGGTTGGTTTAGTACTTTTGTGAAAGTGCTTCGAGCCACCTATCGTTTTTGTTCTTCATCACTTAGCAGAAGTTTTCACTTTTTTATCTCGAATAGGAACATTTGATGGATTTGGCCTTCCTGTCAGCTCATTCACATGCGATGAAGGGTTTTCGTGTCGCCCCGATCTGTTGCTTGCTGAGCTTCAATTCCTTTTGTATGAAATAACTCTTTTATCACGACGACAAACTTTGACAAGACCTACTACTTCCATGTATTTCCGTTTGCTTCTTCCTTTCTCTGTGTGCTTGGTTTCTCTTAAGTTTCAACGCTTTCCGTTCATCTATTTTCTGCCATGTCGATCTTGGATCCACTGTTCCTTTTCTTAACCACGTTTGCGGCCAATCACTTGTTCTGCGCATTTTGGATATTATCTTTCATGAATTCCACTCATCTTCAATATTCCGATATCCTCACATCTGCTAAAGGTTCGAAACGATTGCGTAATTCACCTTGAACCTGTCTGCAACGGCTGGGTTTCGTAACCTATCCACAGCGAATTGCGATTGACCTGTTTCATTTTGTCTGCTGTTTTCAGTTTAGGCTGATACATGCTTTCATCAAATAAGTGATCTGAACGCTATGTCTTCTCTCCGAATGTGCGAGCCGTCTTGACGAGAGTTCCTTCCTCTGCGACTGATGCAAAAATGTCAATTTCATTGAAATTAACCACCTTCAGGTGATCCCCTCTCATTTTCTTGTGTATCTTTTGTGTTGGAGTAATGTGTTTCCATAATTCAGAGTTCATTGTATCAAAAAGGAAGCTAGTCACTCGCCGCATTGTTACTAAACATGCTCAGCAGATCTTGGAAGGTCCGATCGTTCTCAATGGCGCTTCTGTCATCGAACTGAGCATTGAAATCTCCAATTATATCTTTCAATCCTCTTCGGCTGGTGACTTCATCGATGGTTTCTTGGATTGACTCGTAGAAATCATTTTTTTCACATTCTTCGTCTCAGCTCTCGTTGGTCATACACCTGGTATGATCGTAATTGGCGAGTATGTCTTGTCACCGAATCCGGAGCTGTAATTATCTTTTTTCATATTATTGGTTTCCATCCGTTAAGAGCGTAGTTGCCTTTTTTGTTCAAGACAAAACCGACTCCTCCTTCGTGTTTGTTCTTCGTGCCGGAATACAACGGATCGTTCTGTTGTTACTGTATTCTGCTATTACCTCTTCAGCGAACTTCACTATTCCCGAATATATCGAGTCGATTATGTTTATTCCATCCGAAGTAAGTTCGCGAGGTTGAGTTCTGTTTCCGTGTACAACTTCCTGTCCAATGTGAATTTTGTTTTTGGTGAAGACCGAATTCAGATATCGGGGCAATCCGTCACAAGCAGTTTAGAAACACGATCTCCTCATTTCAGCAATATTAAATGTATTCGTCGTTCTTAGCATCAGTAATTTTTTTACAGCGGAAGGGTTGCTAGCCTTCGCTGCCAACCCTCCTCCTTTCTTATCCGGCTGGACCCGGCAATAGAGTTACATTGCGAGATTGGGTGACTGTTATTTTCCGAATTCTTGGATTTTCATTTCGTTTTCAAGCGCTTGCTAGCTTTACGTGTTCCCTCTGCTCTCAATATCCCATCCTCTGTATATCAAGTGGAATCTTTGAACAGTACTCGGCAGGCATAGTGGGCCTATTATGTGACATTTTCCATTTTCAGAGGACATGTTTTGCAGAAATCTGTGAAGATAGCGAAC